ATTACTCCCTGCTGGTTTTCTAATTGTCCTCTAACTGATGTCAACTCCATGGCGAAATCCTGAAAACAGTCGAATCCCTGCAAACCAACACTTGAATATTTTTCTAGATTATTTAACTTAGCACAGTCAATCATTATAGCATTTGGTAAATCTCCATGTTCCCATAATCTAATTGACTTTAATCGACAAGTTTGACCTTTTTAACTGACCACATATTCATTGCATAGTATTTGGTGAACTATATTATTTTTCTTAATTGGATCAGTAGGTTTCCCATTCCACGAAAGTTTTTCTCTGAGTTGGTTGTTTTAGCGGTTTTGTTTCACAGTGTACTGCCACTCAGTAAAAACTATACATTTTGATTCAGGTCAAGTTTTGGAGTAACAATTTATATCTGACGCTAAGGAATCGGTATTTAAGGTTATGTAAGTCGGGGGTATAGCTCAGTGGTAGAGAATTCGTCTCCAGTTCATACCTGAGTGCCCCTTTCACTTTGTGACCCAAGTTCCCTAGTGGACAACCCCTTTCCTCAATCATATAGTGGTGAGTACCTCCGCCTGTCACGTGGAGGGCCCGGGTTCGAATCCCATTCGAGGGCTGGCTTTGTGCGTCAATGGTACCTCGGCAGAATGCTCACTGACCATGCATGTGGTGCGGAGTTCGATCCCCGGCCACAGACGCACTCCTTTACCTCGCTAAGCCGGTAATAAGATTGGTAAAAAGGGAAGGTTGGGCATGAGTTCAACAACCCCGTAAAAATATACACCCCTGTTACTGAAACTTCAAGCCTCTAGCTTGAAGCTCTATTTTTTCAAGAATCTACTGGATTTTGTAGTAGTTTTTCAGGTTCAGAAACAGTAAGCATAATTTTTCTTTGCACCAAACTACGAACAATATCTAGATTCTTCAAATGGTGTGAAATGTTTTTACTCCTCTAATTATATAGCAACTTTCTCATGGAGTTCACAGTCACTATTCTACCAAAACGGTGAACTCATAAAAATCACCTGTTAATCTTAAACACTAGTATAACCCATTAAAGTTAAAAGAATATCTACTGAAGAGAACTTATTCCATATCAAGCAGACCGTTTTGATATATGTTCTCGGGAATACTGAATTCATGCAACTGACTTCCTTGGCCCAGAATTTAACTTTACCATGATTTTATGAACCATTTTTATTGTCGCTATCCATAACCATCTGCTTCGCTCCATACTGAAGCTCACTTGGCCAGACATAATAATTAGAAACAAAAAACCTCTGTGAATAAACCTATCAAGCGCCTATTGCCTAACAAACATGCCGGCGAGAACGGAGATGGTTCGATCACATTCTTGAGAAACTGTTAAGTAACCTCACGTAACAGGTGAACCCTCCAGTGGAACCCGGGTGGGAAGCGGTGAGCCAAACGTTCGACAGAGACATGGAGGAGATCGTGTGGATAGGAGATAAAAGCTTATGGAAAGTTGTGGGACCTGATGAAGTGGACTACAGAGTGAAATGATAATGTATAGCTGAGGCAGTAAGCTTCATTCGGAGCTAAAATGTCTGTCTGTTTTCGACATAGAACTTTGCACATATGTGTACCAGTTCAAGTTGTCACACTCCCTCCTTGTAGCACACAAAGCAAGAGAAGAAAGTAGAAGAAATGCATAGTAGAGAGACAGTAAACAGAGGTGTGAGACGAAGAAATAGTAATAACGAAGAACAAAACAGTTTCATTGGAAATCATAAGTCACAAGAAGTGGATGCATCTGCGCCGGCCATTGACAACAATTTTCAGGCATATCACCAATTGTTTCCAACCATTGCTTTTTACCGTCCCAAGGACCCCAACCCGGAAGTCTACATCTTCCTACGTGGATTGAACAAACTGTTGTTGATTTCATTGACTGGTGAAGCCACGTTTTGGTTTGACCGCCACCACTGGCTCTTTTCCAGCCTGACCCTATGTCAGCCAGCTAACATTGCCCTCTGTCGAGGAAGGCGATGACTAGGCATACATAACACATGTCCTAACCATCTGAGTCAATGTAATTTCACAGCCTCGTCTATTGATATCCACTGTTTACCTAGAACTCGACGCCTAACCTCAATATTGCTCACCTTATTATACCACTTCACACGGGAGATAGAACGCAGTCACCTATGATCAAAGACAGCTGATCTTTTCATGTCTTCTACTCTCAGTGGCCAGGTCTCACTCACAGCCATAAAGGAAGACGGAGCGGACTGATGAGCAGCACACCCGCTCTTCGGTCGATAGTCGGATATCACGTTTACGCCGTGTTCGCGTGGCATAATGCTATCCGATCTGAAGCGCCGTCAACCATTTTCCTTAATGTGAAATTTCTTCTTCTTCTTCTTTGCCTCTTTCGAGAAATGCACGATATTTTAGTTCAAAACCCACTGTAAAAAGTTCAGGAGTTCAACTATAGGACCTTCTTGTTACAAGGCCAGCGAGCTCGTAGACCACTAAGCCCCTGGGACCTGATCTAGCGGCCAACCCATTAATGCCAGCTTCTGCCAATCCATAACTCAGGAAGATCTATCTCATATATTGTGATATGCTGCCAACCACAATTATGCTTTTTCTCAAGTTTACTAGAAACTTGCTAACCAACAATTTGTAAACATTTTGAATACTCGCAAGAGTGAACAATACCATTAGAGATTTGATTCTAATTGATTTTAAACAAAGTGTACAAGAGATTTTTGGTGGGCCAAGTTTTAAGCAGCCAGCTGCTGTCATTCAGCCTAACGATTTAAGTGTGCTCCATCTAATTCACTAACTCATAGATCGTTGTTTCATAATTGACGCGAGCGCTTGAATATTTATTGCCTGGGCAGCCAGATCGAAGCAGGTGGTTGTCTTTAGGGATCAACCCTCCTATTTGAACCTTGACTTGAAGTCCGACCCGCAAGGGTGTGGACGTCCGTTCTCACGGTTATCAGTAACCAAAACAGGTTCGTACACCATTCGGTTCAATCGCATTCTGGAACCTATGTAGATCATAGGTTTGAAGTCAGGGTTTATCAGCTGCGTTAGGTGGGTCAACATGTTCACCAGTTCGACTGTAAGCGCCAGGTGATTGGATTCGCCCTCTCTCGTTTGTGAGAAACACTCTCACCATGTAAGTGGGAAGTGAATAGGACCTACTTGATAGAGGTTATGAAGGTTTGATCACTTCAGAGCAGATTGAGAGGAAGATTGAAGTTCAACCAACCTCAACCTTAGCACCGGGTCGTTTATAGTGGCCCCCTGGGTTATCTGTCAGTCAGCAAGCTCACATTAATTGCCATTGATTCTATCTGCTAAGATTTTCCAAGACAGAATGATGTACCCATATATCTTCTCAGTTGTCATTATTCCCACAGTTTATGTTACATCTATTAATTAGTACGAACTGAATGGAAACAATGTAAGGTCGAAGTATTAATTATGGAACATCTGTTTCTGGTTTTATATTGAGAACCTATTGAATAATCTGATGGAAGTATGCTTTCAAAGTGAACCTGGATATCCACAGTATTTTAGATGTATTTAGACGTTGGTTACAGCACTCGACTTTCGAACACTGGTTCTCACTTTCACAGAGTGAAGTGAAGTTGACTCACTAACCTGCAGAATGGTACTAACTGTAGTAGAGAAGCAAGATGAGGAATGTGATGTGAGTAAAGGGGAATGATGCTCAGGAAGGCTTCGTGTTCTTTTGGAAGTGTGTGGGCGGTTGTTACTTCCCGACTGCCCACACCGTGGAAGTTGATTGATTCTTCAGGTACCTGAAACAGAAAGAGGGGTTAGTGATGCGTGATCGCAGAGCCCAGGGGACAACTGATTAAGGCCGGTCACACATGGCCTGTATGAACTGGTTTCTGGGATTAGTTCCGTATTAGTAAACTTACCAACGGTAACGGACCACCATAGGGCAAGTCGGGATGCACAACTTTTGGGGTCGACCTTTTCTAACCCCCTCCCTCCGGAGTGGAGAGACACCATAACTGGCATGCTGGTCATCTGAGGGAAACACCTCAGTGCAGTTACACCCCTGTTCCCCAGCTGTTGGACTTCGCCCTCAGACCCCCAACATAGTGTAAGAAAGATTCTTACACAATTCCGGTAACTGCTTTTAGTCTAATCGATATCTTAACAACCTTCCTGGCATGGTAGGACCTGCAGGAACATTGGTCCCAGCCAATGAAGCTTGTTGGGTCATTGCGATGTGCAAGCCCGACCAGCACGCCAAGGTAGCAGCTATCGGTAGAGGTAAGAAGGGGAAATCAATCGAAGAGGCTGTGAAATTACATTGACTCAGATGGTTAGGACATGTGTTATGTATGCCTAGTCATCGCCTTCCACGACAGTGGGCAATGTTAGCTGGCTGACATAGGGTCAGGCTGGAAAAAAGCCAGTGGTGGCGGTCAAACCAAAACATGGCTTCACCAGTCAATGAAATCCACAACAGTTTGTTCAATCCACGTAGGAAGATGTAGACTTCCGGGACGGTAAAAACCAATGGTTGGAAACAATTGGTGATATGCCTGAAAATTGTTGTCAATGGCCGGCGCAGATGCATCCACTCCTTGCGACTTATGATTTCCAATGAAACTGTTTTGTTCTTCGTTATTACTATTTCTTCGTCTCACACCTCTGTTTACTGTCTCTCTACTATGCATTTCTTCTACTTTCTTCTCTTGCTTTGTGTGCTACAAGGAGGGAGTGTGACAACTTGAACTGGTACACATATGTGCAAAGTTCTATGTCGAAAACAGACAGACAGTCACGCGATCTACTGTGAAACAATATTTCATTTGAAGATCCTGAACAAAGAGAAAATAGCATGCAATAAACTTTGTCGAAAATTCTGTATATTATTATATAAAGCACTGTCTAGAATATATTTCTTGATATTATGGCGTTTGCGATTATTAAAAAAAAGGGGGAGGGGAAATAAAAGATAACGAGAATGATGACACAGGAAACTGTGACCAATTACAAATTATTATTATTATTATTATTATGATATATGAAGTTAAATGGAGGGAGGCGCGGATGGAGGGGGCAGTAAGACACGGAAACTCATAAAATCTGGTTAGAATGAATAACTGGTCCTTTCATCCATTTGTTGTTCAACATACACATAGAGCACTAGCTGTTATTGTCATTATTATGCCTAAAATATACAAGTCTGTGCTCATGAGACTTACATGTACATGGACACAGAGACGCACACACACACACACACACAAGGCACCAGGATAAAATCACACATGATAACAAAGAGGCATAAATGATTAGAGAGACAGTGATACATATACACCTGTGTGTTATTTCTTAAAATCCACAATTATATCAAGAATAAAGGAAAATAACCCACACACAAATGTATCTGAATAGGTTATTTTAAAAAAAAGAAATCCACAACAAAGTAAGATGAAATGCATATCACCTCCTCCCTAACACCTGCACCGCCAACAAATCATCAGTGTTAGCGCTTAGTGATGATTATCTGAGAAAAGAGGAGTGAGTTAAACTGACGAATATATCACCAAGAAAGTGAAAAAAGAAAACAAGAACAAAACAATGAAAAATATCCATTCATCACATATAATGAAGATAACACAATCTGATCGTGGTAATAACGATCCACTTTGTTTTATAGAGCTAATAATACATCATCATCCTGGGGTTCATTTGTGTTCGATGCCAGTAGCTGTTGTTTTTCTTCTGTTAAATCAGCATAGAGTGATCCAAACTTTTTATTATCATTATTACCACTACTGTCGGAATGCTCAGGTGAATCAGATGGTACACGTACATAAACTGGTTCAGCTAGACGAGTCTGACGTCGATGAAAATGAAGAACAATGTAATTCTAGATTTGAAAAAAACATAGAGAAAAAAGGAAGGATAAACAATTATTTAAGTCAAATTGAGCAGAAGAAACACATATATATATATATATATATATATATATATATATATATATATATATATAGCTGAAACATTCTTTGCCGCAACACGCTCTTTCTCATTGAACACCTGGAAGCAGAAACACGAGAGAACCAGGCAGGCTTTAGACCAGGAAGAGGATTTACTGATCATATCTTCACCCTTCGACAGATTCTGGAACATAGGCATACTTACCGTTGGCGTCCAACAATTGTTATATTTCTTGACCTAAAGGCAGAATTCGATTCTGTCGACCAAGAGGTACTCTGGCGATGTTTGACTGTATAAGGAATGCCGAGAAAATACATTGCACTGATCACGGGACTCTACTCGAACTTATGCAGTTAGCCAGGTGAGAGCTTACAGCGAGTTGTCATCTGAAGTGATGACAACTAGTGGTGTCCAACAGGGATGCTCACCACCATCCCCATTTCTATTCAATTTCATCAGAGATGTACTAATGGACTTAACCCTAACTCACTTCAGCAACTCGGGGATCAACTTGTTACCAGGGAATAACCTAGCTGACTTAGAATATGTAGATGATATAGTTTTGATTCTAGGTGAAGACGCTGAAAAAATGCAGAGTCTTCTAAACACCTTGAGTTGTAATCTGCGAATGTTTGACATGCGATTCGCTTCCACCAAATGTAAGATGATGCTACAGGACTGGAGTACATTGACTACTCTTAGCTTAAAAATAGGAAGTGAAGTGGTGGCCGAGCGTGTTGACCACTTCACTTATTTGGGAAGTACTATCAGCCAGTGTCAGCGGGTTAATCGCTGTCGAAATCTCAGCACGGATACAGAAGGCTAGTTTCGCATATGCTTGTTTACGCCATCTCTAGTATAGACGTGATATCCCAGTGACTGTCGACCAAAGGGTGTGTGTACTGACCAGCAGTTAGCTCCGTCCTCCTTTATGGCTGCGAGCCAGACCTGGCCATTGAGAGTGGAAGACATGAAAAGCCTAGTTAGCTGTCTTTGATCATAGGTGCCTGCATCCTATCTCCAGAGTAAAATGGTATAACAGGATGAGCTGTATTCAGGTTAGGCATCGAGTGCTAGGTAGGTGGAAGGGAATATCAATAGACGAGTCTGTGACGTTGCACCAATTGAGATGGTTAGGACATGTTTTACGAATGACTAGCCTTCGTGGCTTGGCCCTTCGCCTTCCTCGACGAGCAATGTTAGCTGACATAAGATCAGGCTGGAGAAGAACCAGTGGTGGTCAAACCAAAACATGGCTTCATCAGTCAATGAAATCCACAACAGTTAGTGTAAGCCACGTAGGAAGATGTAGACTTCCTGGTTGGGGTCCTCGGGATGGTAAGCACCAATGAAGGCTGGAAATAGTTGGTGATATGGCTCAAACTCATCGTTCTCAAATACTGTCACAGATGCATCCACTCCTTGTGACTTATAGTTTCAATAAAACTATACTGTTCTTTCATATTACTATTCTTTTTGCCTCATATCTCTGTTTACCGCTTCTATTTTGCGTTTCTTTTTAATTTCTTCTCTGGCTTTGTGTTCTGTGTGAAGTGTGGCGACTCACACTGCCGCACCTCGGTGCAAAGTTCTATGCTGAAACCAGACAGACAGACGAACAGACCCACTGTATAACTCCAATGCAGATGAAGGACAAGCTAACAAGTCTGGCCACTTCGATTTACGTTGATAAATTTAACTGTTAATGTGCAGAAAGACAATTACATGCGTAGAGCGACTCGGAAAACCCAATATCGCCTTCTTGAGAATTGTTCAACATGGTTAGATAAAAGAGACGTAAAGTCAGTCAGGAGTTCAGTATTGTCACATCTTTTGGATGGATATGGAGCACAAGATTGATGAAAGGATTCACCGTTTACAATTCTGTATAAAGGTGCCAGCTAAATTCTCTAAATCTCCACGCCTTCGATTGCTTAGCATAGATGAGGCAGTTGCCATATAAAAATTTTCAACCCAGTATCTGTGTTCAGACACAGTTTGTTCAGTCCCTTTCCTTCCTGTGGCCTTTAACTCAAAGCTGGAATGGTCATCTGTCTCGGTAACACCGGAAAACTGTAAATATCAATTCTATCTTTACTGTTGACTTTGGTATTAATATCATATTGTGCTATAGTAGCATATCTTATTTTCACAATTTATTATTATAATATTATCTAATCGCTATGTGACAATAGTTATTGTCCCCTCTACCCCTACTACTATGCACATTCTACTCGACTACTGTTTGCTTCCGCTGACCCACATTGTTTCAAATGTCTGTGATCAATATTTTATTACGTAATTTTAAAGCCTGATGAGAATTTATCGATTATACGCATTTATTTAAACTGCATCCTATAATTTTGATTTCCCCGTTGATTGATTGAAACGAGTGTTCTAGTGGATAGCTCTTTGGTGCTTGTAACGAAGGCTACTCGGCCCGAGTCTCAGTGAGAACAACACCAGTTGCTGTGGAATGCAGGCACATCCAGTTGGTGATGAGTTTTATATGGGGCAAAGTGTGCATCCTACGTTCCACTGTCAGTAAGCCTCCACCAAATAACTTAAACAATACTCAGTTGACTAAAACGTGACGAGATTCCTCATCAATTTAGTACTTCAAAAGTGGAACTGATTTGAATTTGGAATACACAAGGCGGAAGTTTTCATCACTTCTTCCATGAATTATGAATGCTTTTATAGAGAGAAAAATGTAGAACACTGTTGAACAGCAATCCTATGCCTAAATGACTGAGTGACTGGTTTCAAACTAGAACTTCGCACAGATGTGCAACAGTTCGAGTTGCCACTCTCCCTCCATGTAGCACACAAAGCCAGAGAAAAAAGTAGAGAGATTAAAAATAGATACAAAAACAGAGAAATGAAGCAAAAAGAATAGTAATATGAAAGAACAAGGAGTGGATGCATCAGCACCACTGACAACGATTTTGAGCCATATCAATAATTGTCTCCAGCCATTGGTGTTTACCATCCCGAAGACCCCAACCAGGAAGTCTACATCTCCCTACTTGGCTTACACTAACTGTTGTGGATTTCATTGACTGATGAAGCCATGTTTTGGCTTGACCACTACTGGTTCTTTTCCAACCTGATCCAATGTCAGCTAACATTGCCCTCGAGGACTGCTGAGCAGTACACACGCCATTTGGTGGATAACCGGATATCGCTTCTACTCCAAAGATGATGTAAGCTAGGAGTCAGTGTAGTTCAGTCCTGTAACATCATCTTACATTTGACGGAAGCCAATTGGATGCCAAACATTCGAAGACTTCTGTTCAATGTGTTCGGAAGACTCTGCACAGTTGAAGCAGGAATCAATTTCAGTATAGGAAAAATCCTCATCTGAACATTTAGCAAATAAAAACACGGACTGAGCGAAGAAATATTTACTTTTCAACTAGATCCTCATCTATGACTCTACTCTAACACACATACATGCATAGTAATGTTTAATATAATACAGAAACTCACCATTTTAAACTATTGATTTGCAGGGATTTGATTTAATTGGTTATAGGATTTCAACATGAGCTAACATCGGTTAGAGAACCGTTGGACAACCAGCCACAGGGAGTACTGGACAGCTGTTTCATCCCCTCAGTTCGGGACTCTTCAGTAATACGCACCCATCGCAAGAGTTTGAGACCAGGAGCTTCTGGTTACAAGGATAGCGAGCTCGTAGACCATTACGCCACTGGGACCCGATATCAGCTCATGATGAAATCGCCCAACCAATCAAACAAAATCGCTACAAAACTAATACTTGGAAATTAATTTAATTTGTAAGTACTGAGAGTATAAATACAGCAGCTCCAATATCGCAGGGTTGGTAAAGTGAGATTTAAATTTATGAATTAATCCTAATTGGTCTTTCCTAAAGGCAACATATAGACATTGTTACCACCATTATAAAATTATTTAATGTTATTCTCACTTGTTTAGAATTCATCGCAAGAAGAATCCCTGGGCGTTACCATTTCTTCTAATGATGAAATGACTCATACGAAAAACAGCTAAATTTTCAAAAAATTCATGTGCCCAATTTTTTACCTAAGCGCTGAGATTACATTAGACTTTTATTTATCATACAGCCAAACTTAATCAACCAAAAATTCTCCCAACATACACACCAATAATGAAATTTATGTAAATATTATGGAATACAACTAAAATTAAAGTGAATTCAAGCGTTTCCCCAATTGTTACGCGAAGGGAAGCGGGGTGGAATTACTAACTAACTAACTGGTTTTGCAAAGAAGTCCAACACTTCAAGTCGCCATACTGTGTGTAGCACACAAAGGAAGATCAATGAAAATAAAAGACAATTCAGCAAAGAAAATCTCCTTCATCGAAGAAATCATCTTCGCAGAGTGTATACAGCCGTATTTATATTTACCAAAACTGTGTAGCATTCTATTATTGACTAATAAGGCAGGGTAACATATTGGAATGGATATCCTCCAAGACTCATCGAAAAAAATAACAACATGAAATTAAAGCAAAAACCAGAAAGAACCCAGTTGGTACCGAAGAAACTGCTTTCTATGAACGTTGAATTTAAAGGTGATACCGCGCTGCTGAGATCCCGAAGAACCACTTATGCAGATCACTGAGAAAAGCTTTCTTTTCGGCTGAGCTACAGATCAGTTTTAACAGCTAAAAAATGATCAATGGATGTGTGAAGGATAAACTGCCGCTTTGGGCCACTTTAACGTGTGTTTAAAAATTCACTTGTTCTTGTGGAGCTAGTTACATTGGCCGCACAAACCACACAATCCCCAAATGCATCTTTGAACGTTATCCGGCATGGTTAAAAAAAAGGACAATGCAAGTCAGTTACTAGCTGAATTCTTGAGCACTTGGTGAACTCAAGCCCCACAGCTCCACCAGAGTCGTCTTTCAAAATTATCT